TTTATAGATGAATTTACCCTAAAATAAAAAAATTACAAATTTAAGATATACTATTTATAAATTCATCTATAATATTAGTGGATTTGTTACCATTTGTAAAATTCATGTGTATTCCACATGTTTGTAGTGGTGAAGAGCGAATTTAAAGGATAAACTAACTTTTAATAGAGGGAAAGAATCTTCATACACTAGTGTAAGTCTAAAACTTTTGTATTCGATTTGAGTCTTTTATTTAACTTACATCTAACAGTTAACAAAGTAATAAATTATAATCCGTTAGATATAAGTTAAATAAAAGACTCAGATCGAGTGTAAGAGTTTTTAAACTTACACTAGTATAAGAAGATCCTGTCTCTTTAACAAATTAAGATTCATGAGAGAATTTAAAATATAAATAACATTGGTGATCATAATTAACAATGATAAAAGTTGATCAATTTAATTTGCTTATTCATTAAGATTACTAAGTATCTATAATTTAATTTAGGCCCCATAAAAATTATCAAAGCAACTTTTTTTAGACTTCACAATCATCATATTTCCTTTTACTTGGGCTAATGCCAATTCTATTGCCAAACTATTGAATTAAGATGGCTTATATTAGCCAAAACTTAGATAAAGAAACAAGATTTTATATAGACTATGATTCAAGCATGACATTAAAGGTATGAACAAACTTAAAGAGGGCTTACTTTCTAAAATTTTAATCTAGACTTTTATTATTCTTATTACAATTATAAATAGTATTTGGATTATAATGGTTGATGCATGAATTGGAATGAGATATCTATACTAGATTTTTCAAAGCAAATGTATCAAAATATATATGTTTTGAAAATTTTTAACGATAACAATCCAATACCCATATAAGCATAATAGTGGAGGAAAAAATTACATATGAAATAAAAATATAACACCAATTAAATAAGGTTTAAGAATTTTTACTTAACAATCATCTTCTCCTAATTTAGGCACAATTGTGCACAATTATATTTTGAAAAATTTATAATTTCACCCATAAATTGTTTGAGTCTTGAGTAGAAGTTATTGTAATTTTATTTGTTATATTTCAATTTGATACTTATTTAGGTTTTATTGATAAACCTAATTAGAATACTACCTAACACCAAGACTTTTTACCTAGTTTCCTTAAAAGATGAAAAGTCTATATTTTGAGGTGTTGTTATAACTTATTTTCATATACTTGATCCTTATTTGATCATAGCTTTGTATTAATTTACTCATTAATTGATGTAGTTTGGCATGAATTAATCACCAACAAATTAAGGAAATATTTTAATCACAATTGGAGAAAGTTTGATAAAAAGCAAAGTCATGCAAACAAGAAGCACTACTTTGCTTAACAGTCACCTAAAAGTGCTTCATGACTATGCATAACTATACTGAAGGGTATGCATAGTCGTGCTTCTTTCCTTGTGTAGGTAATTTGAAGATTTTTTAGAGTTGAAGAACCCTATTTAAGGACAATTAGGGCTACAACTTACAAACACAGCTAACTTTTGACAATTTTTGAAGCCATTTGGGAGTGAAGATCATTGGTGAAGATATATAATGCCTTTTCAAAGTATGACTATATGAGCAAGTGATAAAGAGCATTTTTTTGGGACAAAATCTCCATTCTTATCTCTTTTTTCTTAAGATTCCTTTAGTTTGCATTACTTTTTGAATGAATATAAATTTTTTTACAATTATTTTTCCTTCTTACTTTATTATAAGTAGCTAAATCCATAATTAGAAATATGGTAGATCTTTTGCATACTTTATGTGATCTTTATTTTTAATGACAATTGCAATTTCCTTTTTAGATTAATTTTTGCCTTATTATGTTTATATTTATATGTTTGGAATTGACTATTCTTAACATATCATAATTGATTGCATTGTAAGAGATTGTACCAATATAATTAATGGAACTATAGAATAAAATAAAACAAGTAATTAAGTGAACTAAATTTAGTTTTTTTTAATTATTATTAAATTAACAAATTTATAAGCTCTTTATGTCTTATCTTTTTGTTTTGCATGACTATTGGGAGTAATAACTTAAGAAAAATAATGCTAATATTGTATGATTACTAAGTGTTAGTAATTTTAGTATAAATGATTGATAATCATAAAAAAACTAACATTGGAGTTAAACTAAAAATAAATATAAAGAGATACAAATGTAAAATTATGTTCACTTTGAATAATTTTTTATTAGAAATTGCGTTAATTTCTTAATTTTTTTATTGTTTTATTTTATTATGCACTATTTGGATTCAAGTAATTAAATTACAATATTTTTGGTAGTTAAAAATAATTTATGTAAAACAATATTTTGGTAACTAAATTTAAAAACTCGTTTATTATTTTTCGATCAGTATAGATGCCAACGAATAATAGACCATTTTTTGAAAAAAAGGTGTGTAGATGCGATAGTGGAGGTTGACAATTATAAGTTCAATTTAAGGAAGCAGTGTGCAAAGGATGGATTATACAACGTGCTAACAATTTACAAGGTGCAAGACTATGGTGTGATGCTAATAATTATTTGAAAAAGACAAGAGAGAGGAAGTTCATTAATGCACTTAATAATCCAGAATGGCTTGGGAAAGGATTGCAGACTTGGTTGCCTTGTATATCAATACCAATGACAAGAGAGAGGAAGAAAGACATGAATGCATCAATACCAGAATTGTGAAATGTGATTGTGGGTGAAGAGGTGCTGGTGAGCGACGTGAGAGAGAGTGTGTGCAGGTGCATGAAAATACAATTGCGGTTGGTTAGAGTGTTGGGAAAAAGGTTAAAAGAAAAGGAAAATTTGTTATAAAAAATTATTATTTTTGAATATTTTATTGTTGAATTATATTTTTTGGTTTAAAAAATAATTTTCTTTATTATTTTTGTGTATTTTGGTTTAGCTTTTAAAAACTATTATTTATTTTAATTTTAGTATTCTAAAATCATTTCAAAATATTTCACATATTTTCTTTAAAATATTATTTTCAATTTTGAATTATTATTATTATTTTAGTGTTGGAATTATTTTTATTTAGATGATTGAATTTCGTATGTTAAGTGTATTTACACGTATTATATATATATAATTTTTAGATTATTGATTTTAAACTTAATTGTGATTAAGCAAAAATATAGTTGGACAAAATTGAGTACTCATATTTATCATTTATGACTAAATGATAAATGTTATTATTATTTATAAATAATTTCACAATATCGTCATTTGGACTGTGACTTTCATCTATCATTAAGAAATTATGCTTAAATCAAATTTAAACATGTTATATAAGATCATATAAAGTAAGGATTTAATCAAGCAATCATTATAACTAGTCAAGATAAAATTTAATACATAATCACACATTTTCAGTTTATAAATTTAATCCTTTATTTAGAGTGCTCATAGTGTTAAAAGTTAACTAATTCTTTAAGAGTTTAACATCTCTTCAAATGTAGGAGATGTTCTCATATACAGAGATTTCTCTTTTTTGCATTTACCTTCTTAATTTATAATTTTCTCCTTTACCTTGCTTGTGGTCAAAGTTGATGTGAGTTGTGAAATTAGTGGGTACCTCTTCCTTTCTTTCAAGTGTTTCTATGTGCTTGAAGTTTAATGTTTAAGGGTCAAGGATTAAAAAAAAGCGAGTCCTTTGGTAATTTTAGAATTATTAAGAAAATATTGATCTTTTGGAGAGGTGGGAATGTGTGGGTTATTCAAGAGTGTTTAAGAAATTGTTTTGAAATTGAGTGGTAAAAGAAATGTTGGGTAGTGGGGATGTGTGAGTTATTCAAGGCTTCTTAGAAAAAAAAAATCATGGATTATAAATAGGTTTTGCCACCTAAAATTCTCATTGATTTTTTTTTTTCCCATTTTAGTTTATTTCTAGGTAGGCTTATCCTTGTATCCCCTAAATGTTTGCATAATGGTTTATCTCATTTTGGATGTTTGAACATTGACTTAGATTTGATTTATACGAAAATTGACTATTCTTTTTCATGAATTTTATTTCATTTTTCAATTGCATTTTGTCTTGTCTTAAAGATCTCTATTTTGTTTATTCTTTTTTTTTGGTAGCCTATTTTTCAAGTGAGATTTCTTATTTTTCATAGGTAACTTTTATACATCAATATTAATTTATTGTCGAAGTCACTCTTGCCTAACTTATCTCAGGTTTATGCGTACTTATTTTTTCTTGTTTATTCCATTGAATTTTTATTTTTATTTTATCTTCTTCAATAATAGTTTTTATCCCATTTGACTTGCAATTTTCCCTTCCCTAGTCACATGTTCAACTAAATCTTAATTTTTAAACTAATTGTTTATCTTTGATTCTAGTTTGATTTATACTTTTCTACTAATAACTGAATTTTAGTTTACATCACTATTGCAATATCATAGTCTTATTCTTTAAGACTTATGATTTTACTTTAATCACAGTAATTTGTAAAACATGATTGAAACAAGATAATGAATTTCAATCATTAAGATTTTACTAAGTTTATTAAGTTATTGTCAAGATCATAAATTTAGCAAAAATATTTATAAAAATTTCGTAAACTAAAATTTATGTATATTAACGGTAAATAAAAAATTACACGTTTCTAAATAAATTACAAATATTAACTGAAATTCATTGTAAGTTAAGTTATCCTAATTTAATGCTAATAAAATTTACGTGTGCAATGGTCCGAACACATTCTAAATAAATAATATAATAAATAAGTATTATGAAAGATTCAATTAAAAATTAAGAATAAAAAATAATAAAATGATAAAATTATAAGAGATTAAAAATTAAGTTAAGTCTAAAATAAAAATAAAGGGTCCCATGCAACTAAGAACCGGATCATATGTAAAAGAATCAAATGGCCAAAAAGAAGAGGTCACTCTCTCTTTCTTTTTCTCCTTAAAAATCTTGCTTTATTTCTTTCATTTTCAGTCAATAAAGCCGTGTAAACAGGTCAAGCCCTTTTTGGGCACACCCACGAAGTTGCAAGCAAATTTCACCAAAGGTCACAAAAAACCCGCCACTAATCACGCAACATGCCCCCAAAATCAAATGAAACCCCCTAACTAAACCTCACACTATAACACCATCAACATTACTCACTTCACGTTCTTCTCCCATCCACACACACACACACTCCTTCCTTTCATACGTGACACCCACACCTCTCTCCAACCTATAATAACCCATTCCAATCCCAAAGCAACACAGAGCCATGGATGAGAACGGTGAAGCGAGCGAAGAGTACCTCTTCAAGATAGTGCTGATTGGGGACTCAGCAGTCGGGAAATCGAACCTGCTGTCACGGTTCGCGCGGAACGAGTTCGATAGCAACTCGAAGGCAACGATTGGGGTTGAGTTTCAAACGCAGGTTGTGGACATCGATGGCAAGGAAGTTAAGGCTCAGATCTGGGACACTGCTGGCCAAGAACGTTTTCGAGCTGTTACTTCTGCGTATTATAGAGGCGCTGTTGGTGCACTCGTCGTTTACGATATTAGTCGGAGATGCACCTTTGATAGCATCAAGAGGTGGCTTGATGAACTCACTAGTTAGTCTTCTCACTACTCACTCTCCATTTCTGTTTTTTTTTTTTTTTTTTCCTTTTTATGGTGCAAAAATAAAAGAATAATTAATACTAGAAGAAAAGAGTGATCTGTTATGTTAGACCTGTTGATGCAAATTTTGCTTACGGTTGTGAATGTGTGTTGTATTGATCTAATTAGGTCTTTGCAATTCGTGATAAAATTTGTTGGTATGGTTTTAGAATTAGAAGGTTTGGGTATGGGATTAGGTTTTAGAAGCGAAAGAGAGGAAAGAGTATTTTTTTTTTATTTTTAAAAATAAAATAATAAAATGATATATTATAATAAATTGATTTTTCATTTACTTAGAAAATAATTAAATTAATGTAAAAAGAGGTATATAAGGGTGGTCATGGTAGTATTGAATGATGAAATTATGCTTTAAGGTCGTGAGTGTGTGCTTTTATAAGTTTAATTAGTTTTGAGATTCGTGATACGAGGACTAATTTAACGGTAGAATACACATCTAAGATATATTTGGGCGATTAAATGAGAAATTGGGTTCTGCGATTGTAATTTTAGTATTCAAGACCATTTTGACTAGGAGTTGGACTGATTGCTCGGTCTTATTGGTAAATGAATCTTGAAAGTTATACTTAAGGTCCTTGAATGTGTGTTCTGTCAGGCTAATTACGCTATGAGATTCGTGATCTCGGAAGAATACGCATTGAAGGACCATTTTGACGATTGAATGTGAATTTGAGGACTGGAATTGTAATTTTGCCGATTAGAGACTAACAAGGAAAATACTTCTCCCTTAAATTAAAAATAACTTATTTCTTCAAGTTTTAGAGTAGTTGAACGAGAGTAGTTTCATAAGTTAATTTTAACTTATAAAATTTTTGGGTTTTAAGCATCTACAAATATAAAGTTTTTATGAAAAAAGTAAACAGTTATTGTATTAAAGTTATAAAAATACAATAAATAATTCTTTTTCTAATAAATTTTTACTACTATTAGCTGCTTATCTTCAGCCCTAAAGCTTTAGGACTGAAGTTAACAAAACTAAAAATTTTTATTAATTTTTTATATTATTTTTCTTCTCTTATACACACTTATCTCCAAGTTCACTTCAACAAGCCTATATCATTTATGATTAATTTGACTAAATTCTCATTCTATTCCCCTTTTATAGTATTTTATACCCTTTAGTTTTGGATTTGAGTAAGTTAATTTTTAGGAAGTGGGCTTATTAGTTTTTAGTTTCACATTTGATGGATTTGGTGTTTTAGGTTATGCCCCCTTTTGCCCTGTTGTTCTGACCCAGCATGATTTTGTTAATGTAGGCTTGTTTTGGTTTGATTTTTTTATTTTTCCTTGGATGGGCTTTTTGTTGGAGGAAAGGAAATATGACATTTGAATTTCAAGTGAATAGGATCATTATATTAGGAAGGAAATTAAAGAATGGAATCAGAGTTAGATTTGCTGTTTTGTTTTTATGAACTATGGATCTTTGCAGTAGGAGAGAGAAAAAAAAAAATCTCTACAGTTCATTTTATTTTTATAATTTTAAAAATTTTATAAAATAAAAAAAAAAAATGAACCATTGGATGATGAATGCAAGAATTTTGAATGCAGAGGATCCGGATCTGTTTTATGCTGTCTCTGCAATTACTAGAAGCAGTTTAGACATTGGTAATTGGATAGTTGAGTCGTCTTCTTTTTTGCAACTGATATTATATTCACATGGTTCCGGGTTATAAATTATGAATGAAGGATGCCTGTGATTGTGATCTGGAACGGAATAAAATCTTTTATGGGGACCCTGTGGGAATCTCTATCGTGTATAATCAATCTTGTAGAACTAAATTGGAAGAAGGGTGTTAAACTGTTTGAGGTTCAGCTTTGAATGGGTAAATAATGTGCCTAATCTGCTCGTGTAAAGTGATTTATTAATTTGATTAAGGTAACCTTGATTTGATGTAGGATATATTGGGAGGAAATATCTACAAGGTTTTGTTTCCTATAGGATATGAATAGGAATTTCCCCATTAGCGACCTAAAATATGGAAATCATTGAGGATTAATAATGGCTTTGATTCTTGTCTATTTGAGGATGAGGGACACTATGATCGCTGGGTATCTTTTTTATAATTGCTGTCTGGACTTAAATATACTACCATATTTGATAAAAGTTACATGTTCCCACTTTGGACGAGATGCATGGCTTCCTTGAATTATCAACATCCTTTGCTTAAGTTTCATCGTCGTTGTGAATACTGAGAGATTAATATTAGCGACAAAAATACTCTTCTAGAGAACTCACAAATTTCTTTATAAACAGGATGAAGTACTTTTCATGATTAAAATCTGCTACCATCATGACTGTTGCCTGACTGTATTGTATAGATGGAATTGCCATGTTTTCATAATTTTTACTTCTGAACTATACGAACTACTTAAATAAAATTCATTTTCGTGATCTTGTGTAAAATCTACCTGACAATTTTCAGGGAGCATGTATTTTCAATGTTTTTTATTGACTGAAATCTTTTTCTGCCAGCCTCAATGACACTGTCAGTTTGTCAGAACTTAGAACCTACCTTATGAAATATAGATATATTTGAGCATCAAATTTAGTATATTGTTTTAATTCTGTAATTGTTTAACTTTTGGTATATTAGAGTCAAATAAGAGTTCATCCTCCATAAATACATGCGCTATATCCTTAGTTCTCGAGAAATTAGTCATGAAATAAGTCCTTTAATTAAGCAAAAGTATCATCATACTGGTCCCTTGTTTTAGGCTTTTCCCCCTTTATCTCTACGGAAAAAAAACAATTGGTCCTTTGTCTCCTTACTAATTTGATGATATGTTGCACCACTGATGGTATAAATTAATGACTTTTGCATTATTGAGGGAATAAATTGATGTGAAAAATATTTAAAAGACTAAAGCGATGCACCTTTCATTATCGGTACACTAACTTGATGACAAAATTCTTTATTACTAGAGCGATGATTCTTGTATTCTTGGAGAACGATTTCAGTCAAAAACATTTGGACGAGGTAGTGTATGTTTGGAAACACATTGGAAATTTGTAAATGTAGATTTAATTCTAAAACTAAAACTAGGAGCATTGAAATAAACAGGAATTCATAGGCATTTAAACACAAACCCAAGCAAACTGGTAAGCTTTTAAAACTTGCATCGTTTTCCTTTGTAATACTATCATTGAGGTGCCTCAAAGCTTTTTATTTAGATGTCTGCTTTCCATAAAACTTTGTTTCGAGAATTTTAATCTTTGCATAAATTAACCTGCAGCTCAAAATGATAGCACCATAGCAAGAATGTTAGTGGGAAATAAGTGTGACTTGGAGAATATTAGAGAGGTGAGCACAGAAGAGGGCAAAAGTCTCGCAGAAGCAGAAGGTTTGTTCTTTATGGAGACATCTGCACTGGATTCTACCAATGTCCAAACAGCTTTTGAGATTGTTATCCGAGAGATTTACAACAATATCAGCCGTAAAGTCTTAAACTCTGATTCTTATAAGGCTGAGTTGTCTGTAAATCGAGTAAGCCTGGTTAATGGTGCAGGATCAAAGCAAAGTCAGCTCAGTCTTTCTTGTTGTTCTCGATAAGCTTTTTACCTTGACTTGGATTGGATACTTCTTTGGATCTGTCAAGAATAGATTTTTCTTCTTTTTCCAACGTTATAATGGCTACTGTTTTTTTTCTTGCCTTTATTTTTGTGTTTTCTTTTTCATTTTGTCCTCCAATTTCAAGTTCTTGGGACCCTTATCCCACTCTGCCTGGAAGAAAAAAGGAAAGGCAATTGCTTTACTTTTCTATGAATATTTTTAGTAGTATGTTCAAATATCACGCATTTGGCGCTTCTGATAGGTAGGCGTTCTGTGCTTAAATATATTCCTTATTTGTTGAATACTGCAACACTTTGATGACAGGATTTTTGGATTTTTTGGTTTACAAAATTCATAAGGACATGCCAACTTAAATAGGATGGCAAAGATATTTGCAATTGGTATTTTTTATTTTATTTTTTAAGGTTTGACACTTTATTTGGGTTAAGGTGAGATAGTATTATAAAAGGTGACAAGGTTCTCAACCAGCTTTAATGCAATTATGTTTTTAAAATGCAAAATCACTCTTTAAACTAATACTCGACCAGCTCCGTATACTTTTCAATATCCATTAGGGGAGTGGTGGGAGCGACAAGATTACTTGTCTCCTTTTTGTGTCTCCTTTGTTTCTTAAATTAAAAGATAGCACCTGGTTACGAAAATTTCTTCTTTTAAATAGAAATACTCGATCTTAATTTCTTCTTTTTTGGAAATATCATTTTTTTAAGTTAAATCAGTAGATTAATATCTTAACTCTTGATTTTATTTTGCTTTGGTTTTTTAACTTTTTTTTCACTACAGTTTTTTAATTTACAAAAGTGTTTCAAATAAATTATTTTTCATTAAAAAGGTTAATTCTGTTAAAAAATATATAATTTATCTTTATCTTCCCCGTAAATTCTGACAAAAAGGAATAAAGGGATAGATTTTATTTTACTTCGTGGTGTAATGATCAAGAGCTTGTAACTATAAAATTTACATCTTATAAATTTAACAATGAATTATTTTGTAAATATGGTTGTGCTGATAAAATTTGCTGAAAGATATATAATATAAAAATAATATTTATTTGTATAAATTCAATATAACAAAATAGTATAAAAGTTATTAGTTATATTTTTTTTATTTTACAGGTCCAAATTGCTGAAAAAATTGATACGACGTTAAAATTGTTAATTTTATTTATAATTTTTTAAAATTATTAAAAATCCATAGGATAATGAGGTGCCAATCTAGTTTGCTTAAAATGAAAAAACAAAAACAAAAAACTGTGCAGTGGGCACAAATCAAAATTTGTTGCGGATCTGAACGTTTTCTTATCAAAGATTAAGGTTTGTTGCCTTCGTTTCTTTACTATTGAGTTCTTTTTTCACTTGTTTTCTCCACTCTTGATTTTAGAAAAGTTTTGGAAGGTTTATAAAAACCTGAAATTTAAAAACTCTCAAATTAAGATAGTTATTAATTAAGTCTTATGCTTTCTTCTATTTTCCTCTAAAAATAAACTTTCAAAGTTTAAGAGAAAAATAGACATATTCATCTATCTCTTACAACAACTCGACATATAAATTTTTAGTAGACTAATTAAAAAATCACATCAATTTTTCAAACCTTATACTAGAAAATAGCTATGATTTATTAGTAAACTATTATGGAATATCATAGACAACATGAACATCATAATATTGGCAATGTGGTATGTTGTTGTCATACATGTGCTTCGCAAAATAGTAATAATAATTAAACTTATTAGAATGAGAAACTTCTTGAAAATACTATCTCACATTTAGTCATTCCAAATCTGATCTTCCTTCAAATCAAGAAAAACAGTCATTATTTTTTTCCTACAACCATTGCATTGCATATTTAAAATAGTAGTAATAATCAAACTTATTAGAATGAGAAACTTCTTGAGCAAAATTTTTACATTTAGTCATATATTTTAGCTCAGAAAATACATTCTTGATCCCTCTAATGTAATCAAACTTGATCCTATTAAGTTTTAGAGTCTTTCATATGATGTATTTTCGGTGAAGGTTACTGATCATCGAATCAAACAGTTGAGGGATAAAGATATCTTGTTGGTGAAGGTGATATGAAATGCAAGTGATGAAGGAAATGCCACCTGGGAGCCTGAGGATAAACGAGGGAGACATACCCTCATCTTTTCCTAAGTTAGCGAATTTTGGAGACGAAATTCTTTTGAATGGTGAGAGAGTTGTAACACCCCTATTTTTGTTATTTATTATTTTTTCATTTTAGGATAGTTATGTTGCATATTGTTTGAAATTAGAAAAGTTTAATTAGTGTAAATTGTAGAATATCTGATTGTAGCGAAAAAGAGCATCCAGAATCAGGCTTTCTAGAGCTCTCTCGCTGTAGCAAGAAGTGGACAAGGATGACCCATTAGCATTCTTGTTGTAGCAAAAGATTCTCTTGTTGTAGCCTAAATGACAGACAACAAAGAAAAAATGTTGTCTAGTTTTTTGCTATAGCGAGAATGCGAATTAAGGGGTATTTAAGGGTTTTCAACCTAGAATACTTGGATTACAATTCAAGTTTTGACCTACCCTCCATTCTCTCTAATCTCTCACTTTATCCTCTCAAAAAACCTCCCATAAACCTCAATCTTACTTGGAATTTGGGCTTGAACGTTTGTTTTGATAAACTCCAAATAAGTTTCTTGAAGCTTAATCTCTAATCTTTGTTTTCTCTATTTTCTATCTTCTCTAAAGTGTTCTCTCTTGCAATATTTAGGAGGAACTCAGTTCTTTGAACAAGATCTTTCACCAATCCCTTTCCAAAACTTCATCTCAAGGTAAGAAGAGCTCTTTTTTGCCATCACACAGTGTATATTTTCATGTTCATGAAATTATTGTTATGTATTCTTTATTGTGATTGGAAGGCATGTTTGAATGATATTTAATTATTGTGAAAGGTTGATGGTATAGATCTGGTTGATTGAGATGTTTGTACTGTATTTCTGTGAAATATGTGATAAGAATTTAGTTTGAAAATATCTTGAGCAAGTATAATTCTTTAGCTGAATGAGATTTGATTGTGGTGAAAGATTGATAATGTATATTTTTGGATGATTTTAGAAGTTTGTAATATACTAAAACCTATGTATTATGGACTTAGTCCGGAAGCACTTTACTAAGCACGATCTTTTAGTTGAATAACGAGATGGATGTGAAAATGAGTATGGAATGAATACAAAGTGATGAAAGGAATTAGTGTGAATAGTTACAGAGATAAATTAGGACTATAGAGTTTGGAGACGATGGGAAATTTAGGAGAAACATAGGATGGTGAGTGACATTTGCGTATATGTACACACTCTTTCTGAAAGCGAATGCGTCACATGACCTCACACTCATTTTCTGACTAGACCCCTGACTATACATTTACTAAGGAACCCGTTATTGTATATGTTGTATCTGTGTGCATGGGTTAACCGACAAATATTTACTTATTTGTGTAAGACCTCATAAAGTGTTGGAGGCATCAAATACTTGTTATCACAGTGCACTGAATGTGTGTATTTGAGAGAGAAGTGTAGTGATTTGTGATTAAGTATGTATGTATTGTGGAAGTTACTGATGTATGTGTTTTGGTATTTGATGTGACATGATTTTACTTTAAATTATGAACAAGTTTATGTGATGATAATTAATAATATAATTGCATTATGTTAAATGGTGAGATAGACGCTCATCTTTACTAAACATTTCAGGAAACAAGGATGACTAAATTTCTGAGAGTAATTAGACTAGTAGACTACTATGTAAATTATAGGATTAACTATGCATTTAATGAATATCAACGGTTTTGTTATTTTCAATTTGATAGACTATGTTAATATACCAAGTAATGTTTATACTTTGGAAATAGATTTAGCTATAGTATACTTTTAAATTTTTCTATAAACAATAGGATCTGACACACCCTTTGTATATATGTTTATAGAAGGGTAGTAAGGATTCCAGCAGCTGTGAGCTATTTGTATACCTTCCTGGATCATGATCTATAGACTGACCTGATTAATTATTGAGCCATTATAGATGTTGAGATCGAGGCTAACTCCAGAGATCTTGGAGAGGATGAAGATCTAACTCCTGAGGAGCTGCCTAAGATAGAAGGTTAGCACGGTGATGATAACTAAAACTGAACCCTTAGTGTTTTGAGTGTGGATAGTAACTGCTCTAATTACTTAATTTATTTTGACATTGTAATTATGTATTCTAAGTCTTAATGTATTTTGATAATAGTCTGTAAATATTAAACTTTTGTATATAAATAAGACTCAACACATGTATATTTCTCTAATGTTTCGGTCTAAATATGATTTATCAAGGAATAGTTTATCTCTATCTTTTTAATACATTCATCAATTAACCCTTTCTTATTTTAGCCCTTTCTTATTTCTTAATAATTTATTCATCACTTTTGTCAATCTTTATGTTGCAAGTGGGTCACACCATGCAAAGAAGTTGCAATGTCATTAAAAATCATATCTTAGATACCCATAAAATCTCTTACTTAGGTTTGCCTCAGCCCAAAAAGTTTGCATCGAGGAAAAGCCAAAAATGCAAAAATATGAGGGAACACCACCATTATAATTTGACAAATCCATGCTTCCAATTGATCCATCACTCTCTATATTCTTCTTCCTTAGTTTTCTTCTTTATAGGTTTTCTTCTACATTGGTCTTTGCTGGGATGTTGGTCTTCTTCTTCACTAATTAAATTGATATAAGGAAGGATGAAGAAAGGTAGAAATTAGGGAGAGAGAGGAAATTAGTGTAACACCTTCTTTTTATTTAATTATTATTTGGTGAATTGCTTGATATTAAATGATGTTGGAATGTATTTTGGATTGATTTAATGAGTGCTTGGTAGAGGTCTGGTGCAGGGAGTCTCACTCAGGCGAGACAGGTCTTGCTCAAGTGAGACTGAGCGCCCAGAACCATAATATTTCAGAGCATTCTCACTCAAGTGAGATGAACCTGACTCAAGAGAGAATAAGATAAACTCAGCCCAACTGTCCTCTCGTCCAGGCGAGAAGTGATCTCGCTTAAGCGAGAAAGGATCTTGCCTAGGCGAAATGAGTCGCTCAAGCGAGGATTGATGATCGACTTGATTTGCATAAAGATTTTGTTACTAATCCTCATCAAAATATGTAGAAAAATTAAAGTAATCTAGAATGCAAGCCTAGGTTGTCTCTAATGACATTGGTTGAGAATAAGCATCAAACATGTTGAAAACATTAACTAAAAAACAAATAAAATAGGGGGGAGTTTGGTGATTCCAAGTTCAATACAAAGAGCAAAAGGAAAAATTTATAAAGTTTAATCAATAAGATGCAATAACTCCTAGTTCATTCATGTAGATTCTAT